TGTCCCCAATGTCCCCAATGTCCCCAATGATGTCCCCAATGTCCCCTGTCCCCAGTGCTGGCCCTGCTGTTCTCGGAGGAGCCGGGGTTGGTTCTCGAGGTCCCCGAGGTGGCCGCTGTCCCCGTGTGCCGCCGTTACCAGGACGCCGGTGTCACCTGTGTCCCCATCGGCCACAGCGGCCCCTACGGCCCCCGCGCCACGGTGAGGGGACACGGGGACACGGGGACATTGGGGACAGGGGGACATTGGGGACATTGGGGACATTGGGGGGGGACAGGAGGTGGCTCTGTGTCTCTGTGGTGTTTTTGTCCCCATTGTCCCTCGTCATCCTCATTGTCCCTCTGTCCCTGAATGTCCCTCAGTGTCCCTCAGTGTCCCCCTATCCCTGTGTCCCTGTCCCAGTCCCTGTCCCTGTCCCCCTGTCCCTGTACCTGAGTGGCCCCGAGTGTCCCCATGCCTGGTGCCACCATCCCTGCACCCCACATCTGAGTGTCCCTCAGTGTCCCCAAGTGTCACTGTCCCTGTCCCCAGGTGTCAGTGTGCTGTCCCCAGGTGTCCCCAGGTGTCACCGTGCTGTCCCCAGGTGTCACTGTGCTGTCCCCAGGTGTCCCCAGGTGTCCCCGTGCTGTCCCCAGGTGTCACCGCGCTGTCCCCAGGTGTCACTGTGCTGTCCCCAGGTGTCCCCAGGTGTCACCGTGCTGTCCCCAGGTGTCACTGTGCTGTCCCCAGGTGTCCCCAGGTGTCACCGTGCTGTCCCCAGGTGTCACCGTGCTGTCCCCAGGTGTCCCCAAGTGTCACTGCCGCTGTCCCCAGGTGTCACCGTGCTGTCCCCAGGTGTCACTGTGCTGTCCCCAGGTGTCCCCAAGTGTCACTGCCCCTGTCCCCAGGTGTCACCGTGCTGTCCCCAGGTGTCACCGTGCTGTCCCCAGGTGTCCCCAAGTGTCACTGTCCCTGTCCCCAGGTGTCACTGTGCTGTCCCCCGCTGTCCCCAGGTGTCACTGTGCTGTCCCCAGGTGTCCCCAGGTGTCACTGTGCTGTCCCCAGGTGTCCCCAGGTGTCCCCAGGTGTCAGTGTGCTGTCCCCAGGTGTCACTGTGCTGTCCCCAGGTGTCACTGTGCTGTCCCCAGGTGTCCCCAGGTGTCACTGTGCTGTCCCCAGGTGTCACCGTGCTGTCCCCAGGTGTCACTGTGCTGTCCCCAGGTGTCCCCAGGTGTCACCGTGCTGTCCCCAGGTGTCACCGTGCTGTCCCCAGGTGTCACTGTGCTGTCCCCAGGTGTCCCCAGGTGTCACCGTGCTGTCCCCAGGTGTCACCGTGCTGTCCCCAGGTGTCACTGTGCTGTCCCCAGGTGTCCCCAGGTGTCACCGTGCTGTCCCCAGGTGTCACCGTGCTGTCCCCAGGTGTCACTGTGCTGTCCCCAGGTGTCCCCAGGTGTCACCGTGCTGTCCCCAGGTGTCACCGTGCTGTCCCCAGGTGTCCCCAAGTGTCACTGTGCTGTCCCCAGGTGTCACTGTGCTGTCCCCAGGTGTCACCGTGCTGTCCCCAGGTGTCCCCAGGTGTCAGTGTGCTGTCCCCAGGTGTCACCGTGCTGTCCCCACAGGTGTCAGTGTCGGTGGGTGAGCAGGAGGTGCTGTCCCAGCCGCTTGGGGACATCAGGGGACTTTGGGAGCAGGGCAGTTTCCGGCTGGAGCGGCTCCAGGCCAGCCCGGGCTGTGTGCAGCAGGAGGAGGCCGAGCTGGGGACGCGCTGGGGACCCCAAATCCAGCTCAGCTTCGACCCCGACTACGTGGCACCCGTGGTGGCACACATGGGTGAGGGGACACGGGGACATGGGGACAGCGGGGGACACTGGGGGAGTGGGGACATTGGGGGGATTGGGGACATTGGGGACATTGGGGACAT